AGCTGGAGCTTCACCAAAATCCCGACACACACTCATCTCTCAGCCGAAAAGCATGCTTAGTGTGAGGGATTGCATCCGAGTCGATGCAATCAACTGATTTTCCTTAGATATAAAACTTTGAATCAATTTGACTGTATGATCTGGTGAACTGTAAAGTGCCTTGAGATGACATGTGTGTGAATTGGCGCTATATAAATAAACTGAACTGAACTGAAAACACCCACACACTCCCCCTCCCAAAGTACGGGTCAATAGAGAACCACGTTACCAATAATATATCAATATGGTATGTTTCAGAGCTGAGGAGAAGGTTCTTTGCTGTATTTTAGCTTTGTTTGTGTTTCCCGCACCTCTACAGGTGTTTAGTTCCATAGACAGAGCATACAGGAGTTAAAGAACAAAGGAAGTCCTCTCTGGATCAAATAATGGTCAATAACCTACTGGAAATGACATAAACAGCTGCCCACTGACATTGGAGGGCAGAGCTGGATGTGAATTGATCTGAACTCTGCAGATATGTGGCTGATAGATGAGGCAGGCTGTGTTTACGGAAGGGTGCTGGAGAGCAATTGGAGCCCCAGGCAAGGTTACCCCCACCTCTGACCCTGTGGCCCTCAGTGATGCTTTCTGCATCGCTCTCATGCGTTTTCAGCACACATGGCCAGATCTTCATTTATCTTTCTCAGGATATATTAAAATTTAGAGTTCAACAAGAGATTACTCTTAATTTAAAATAAATATTAAACTAAGAGCATCATGAATGCAACATGCATTATCAATCACAGTGTCAATATGTTGGGTTCTTAGTGATTTATTAGTTAAAAAAAGATGGATGTCTTTATAAAACAACATATCTGTTACTAGCTTGCTACCTCTACTTTCTGTTTATTACAGCCAAGTAAGATGGAAACAAGGCTGTTGACTAAAGAGGACTCAAAATCATCTACAAAAAAGTTTCAGACACGTGTTTGAAAGAAAGTCAAAGCAAGTGCTTTTCTAAAGCATGCTGGGATATATCTGACATTCATATAGGCTGCTAGGCTGAGAGAGAGCAAGACTTTTAGCAGATAATAACAAGGCTTACATGGACGACACAAAAGTTGCTCTTTGCATTCTGTTATTTAACATGCTAAAATGAATGACACCTTTACAACACCTCAGAGCTAAGGTGAGTTCCTACACTCAGCAAGAATGATAGAAAAGCTAAACTTCTTACATATTATAGTTCTTAAAGAGAAATTTGAACGGGTTCAAATCAGGATGAGAGGTCTGGATTATTATCCAATGATCTGTCTGAAACTTGATACTATATTGAATTTGATGTAAGAAGCTTAACAGGTAAGAACAGAACCCCTAACATGCGGCCATGTATTTTTTCCTTCATAAGGCGTTACCAACGCCAGAGACCAACTTGATCATATCTGGTTTTTGACACAGGCCACCGCTGCTCTGGTCTATTGTGAAGAAATAAAGAGCCGAGTCAAAAAGCAAAGTTCTTGGTTTCCAGATCTGTCCAAGTTTCCAGTTTCTCCTACAGTCATGAGATTTAGATCCTGACCAAAACAACGTGATGCTGGACCTAAGTGTCCAAAGTGAGCTTCATCTGGAGGATGGCTGGACTTCATCTTAGAGATAAGATGACAAACTCTGCCATCTGTGGGAAACCCAAAGCAGAGAAAAGAAGTCAGCTAGGGTGGTCCAAGCACTTGATCAAGTTTCCGGACATTTCTCATTGGTAGGAAACACTGTGAGATACCCAGAACTCATTAGAGGGACTATATATCCCATCTGGCCTATGAACACTTTGAGATCCCCAATATGACCTAGAGGGTCTTGCTGGAGACAAGGGTAAATTTATATCTGTTTTTGGTGTGGTTGTTTTTTCATAGAGACTTCATCCACTTTTAGGTGACTTTAAAGCCGTAAGAAAAAACAATCAATCTCCTCAGCTTTACAGGGAGAGATTACGTCATAACATCACAAAGGATAAAACTGGATGTTATTGCTGGTCGTGAGTCCTTGCGTCTTACTTCCAGACAACCTCCAGAGTTGCACATTAGACATAATAACCAGAGATAATCTCTTATGCTCACTGCATTGAAACTGCTGTATAGAGGAGAGATTTGTTTTCTCTGTTTCCACGCAAGCGAGAAAACATGGAGTTCCCCTAAACTACAAGTTTAATTAAGGTTTAGAGTTTTGCTAGTGCAGATGATGAACAGGATTGTTTACCCAAATGTTAAGTGAATATATATCAGTTGAGAAAGGACCTTTGGTCTAGGACATTATTTTCTGCCTTTACTATTTCTGTTAAAGGAAATCAACATTTACATTGACCTGAACCAAGAATATTGCAAAAGGCAAGACCAAGATCATTTCAACCAATCAGTGAAAAATTATGGTTAAAATACTTTTTGTTTTTTTCTGGAAATGTTTGCATTGAGATGGGTGCAGAAAAGCAGATCCCAAAAGCATACTTCAAGACGAGTCAGTTAGGCATTAAACATGGGGTATTTATAGTAATGAGAAAAAAGGAACAAAATATGTGAAAAGGTCAAGGTCCGTATAGGTCTAAGGTAGAACATGTAGGACACATTTAAATATCTCTTTATTCTTTAAAGCACATTTTGCTTCAGTTTTATTTTTCATGACATAATCTGTGGTATGTGGTTTTGTTAATTTGAGGTTAGATTTAAAAGGGGAACCCAGTAATGACCAGATTATTCAAGTCATAATCCAAGAACTGACATACAGTGAACTTTCTTTTTGCTGTGATTGTACCGATTCCATCAGGTCAGAATCTGGTCCTGTTATTCCTCCTGATGAGCGACAAATCAGAAATCATTCTAGGATTTAGCCTCAACTGGGCAATCTTAAGCACAATATGAAGTTCCAGAGATTTTGAACATCAACTAATGTACATTTGCGTATTCAACCCTCAGATAAGTACTATATATGTGGGTAATTGTTTCCTGAAACATGCCAGGTTGTTCTGACGTGTATGGAAAACAGAGACTGCCCCTCTCCTACTTGTTGTTGAACACAACCAATAAGTTGATAGAAAGAGGACAGCTACACTTTACCAATGGTTACAACAAATACATATTGCTCTCTTGCAATATAGTTATTTTAGCAAAAGGAGAACTTTAACAGAGTCATTAATGTGTGTTAATGATGTCCTACCCTTAATTATAAGAATAAGGGTAGCACCTATAAAACATATTCACAGACAAAAGTTTTTTCTATCTTAATTAATAAAAAGTATATATATTTTTGTGCAGTTTTGGATAAATTGCTGCAGTGAGCCAGTTGGTCCTTCAGCAAGTGGCCTGTTTTAAAGTCTACATGCTTCACCTTGATAATTGTTTATTTTCCTTAAAAAAAATAATAAATGTTACATATTATTAAATTGGGAAAACATTTCATTAAAAAACTGCTGTAGTATTTTACTGACTGAGTTTGTACTGTTTTAACCCTTTATTTACGTTAATAATATCTGTTTAAGCAGCTTTAAATTACTATCCGTTTGATTATTGTTTTGGTAGTTTTATTTTTAAACTTGCTTTTGTTTTCTTTTTTCATAAATACCAGGCAGTATTAATCATATTGGACAATTAGGGCATGTGGATATCAGTACTACTGTTGGTAAAACCTGCAAACAGAATACATTGACCAACTTTACAGTTTTACAGCAGCCCCCGCTTTATTAAACAATTTCATCTGCTTTTGCTCCATTTTTATCTCTATCATAGGGGTGGTACCGATGAACAAAACAAAAGCAAAGAAGTTACACCCAGTTGATGCATGGCTGCTTTTAATTTTCCGTTTCCATTTGGCTGACAGAAATAGTCCACCCCTCGATCTCTATCTCCACTCTATCTCCCAGATAGGGTTGCTCAACCATCATGCTTTAGTTTCCCTCTGTGACAGGAACCAGAAGATATGATCCACTGATTCAGGCAGCATCTAGTTATCTACATTCACCTTCAAACAGCCACCTCGATCTGGGAAGTTAACCTGTAGACTCCAAAAACGGTTAAAATACAAACAGTCCTTCATCCAAAGGCTGTAAAAACTGTATGATGATGAAGATTCAAACCGCTATAATCAGTGCTGAGAGTGCAGCCAGTTGTAAAAAACAACAAGCGAAACTCCCAGAGACGGGCATCAACCTACACCTCCCATCGCCCTCTCTCTCATGTACACACACCCCTCATATCTTCAAAGCCAGCCTGCTTGTGTTTCTGTCACCCCTATAAATAGATGAACCCCCCCATTTGGGTTATGTTACAAAGCCGACAGCAACAATACCAGGAAAGAATCCTTACTTTGCCGATTTTATCCAGAATACAGGACCAAAGCAGTGCTAATTTAAATTCAGCAGGAGGTAGGCGTGCTCCGTGCCTAAACATGCCTACATGACAGGTCCAGCATAGAAAACGCAAAGAAAAAGAGCGCGCCACACACTCAGATCCTGCAACTCTACCCTAGCAAGTTTGCTTCCTGCAATGAAATGCTTGGTTAAAGGTGGGTTGCTCCTTTCAGAGCATCATCTAGCTCTTATTCAGCGTGTACAATTGTCCTTATTTCATCTTTTCTTTCTAAACTCCATCAGTATCTCACTGCTACAGCTCCAGTGACCCTCCAAGAGGTGCTTAAATGTCTTACTTCCAGACAACCTCCAGAGTTGATCAGTAGAGATAATAAGCAGGGCTAATCTTCTCTGGTGCTCACACTCACTGCACTGTTACTGCCAAGCGTGTTTATGGAGCAGGAGTGAGTGTCTCAATGGGAGCATGATACCAACAAGGAATTCTCCTGCAGCTAAGACCAGAAGTCAGCTACCACACAGCTGGTACAAAGCTGCAGACTGCATAGGTTTATAAGGGTGCTGATTGTGTAGATATATGATAAATAAGGCAAAGCAATCACACCGGTTCAATCAAGTGAACTGACACAAAAGATCAGCGTTTAAACCTTTAACCCAAAGCCCAACCAACCTGGTATTCCCTCCTGGATTAGTGAATGGGAGAAATCAGGCAGTAGTGGCAGATGGCAGAGGTAAAACTCATGTCTCTCTTTCCCACTCTGCGGTTGTTTCAGATTCTGTAAGCAGATTCCAACAGAGAACCCGGAACGGACAGGCGGGTAGGTGATCAGAAAAACGCGAGTCACTCCAGTTGTCCCTCCAGTTATTCCGTCCAGATGCTCACATGATGAGCTGCCAACTAACGAAAGGTTCTCCCAGACTCCTTCAGGCTCTGCTCTCCAACGCTGTTCATCGGAGAGAGGAGTACCAACAGCTGTGAGTGTGTGAGAAGAGGTCTCTGTAAGTGTGTGTGTCCTCTGAGAATGAGGGTGTGTGTTTGTGTGGAAAAGAAGCTAAACGGACCACGTGATTGGAGCTTAATCCTCCGCCCACTGGCCTAGAGGTACACACAGAGCCACACAAACACATTGAGGCAAAGGCACACACATATACAAACCATTGGACCAATCAGAGCTCAGGCTGAGAGACTAATCACCCCTCCTCCTCTCTCTCTCTCTCTCTCTCTCTCTCTCTCTTTCTCTCTGTCTACTACACTAATTTTACCGCCTTGATCTATTCCCTCTCTGGTCCGTTCCTTGCATTCCACGATCCCTGCCATCCATCTCCTTTAAATATATCTCTCACACCCACTTCTAACCCCGTTCTGGGCAACTGTACTAAAGGTCAGTGTTTATGAGTTTGGCTGCCGAGCCACGCAAACCTGCAATACTAGAGGCAACTGCATGCCTTTTACTGCTGTGCCTGTAACTACAAGGCAGGGTTATCTGACTGGATCATTAACACAAACATCTTGAGGTTTTTCTTATAGAAATGACACACTTCTAAGATTAAAGGTCAGAGTTAAGGTCAACAACCTAGCAGCTGAATGCACTTCAGTGTCTGACTTGAAGGTCAGCTGTCAGACGCATTAGTTTGTTAATATTTGTTCATGTCAGCCAAACCGCCTCCTCTTACAAGTTATAATCAAGTGCTGAAACTGAAGTTTACCTTATTCCATGAGAAGCTTGTGATCCAAAGTGCAGTGTTTCCCATTAAGTGCCAGGACTGCGACGGCAACATATGACTCAAAGATGTAAACAAACAAAAAAATATCCATCCATCCTTTTTTTTGTTAGGCTAATCCCTGCTGGGTCGTGAGGGATGCTGGTGCCTATCTCCAGCTGTCTACAGGCAGGAGGCGGGGTACCCTGGACAGGTCGCCAGTCCATCGCAGGGCAACACAGAGACAAACAGGACAAACAACTATTCACAAACACACTCACGGAAGCCGATTAACTTAACATGTCCTGTTTTTGGACTGTGGGAGGAAGCCGGAGTACCCAGAGAAAACCCACATGCTCAGGGAGAACATGCAAACTCCATGCAGAAAGATCCCGGGCCGGGAATCGAACCCGGAACATTCTTGCTTCAAGAACCCACTGCACCACTGAGCAGCCTCACAAAAAATCTGTCAGTCAGACCAAAGTCTGCAGTCTTGGTGTGGAGAGTGTAAATAGCTAGTCCAAAAATGTTTCGTTAAAAATGTTTAAAAAGATTGCTTGATTGAGTGAGGGACTTCAGAGATCCTGCGACCAGTTTCCTAAAATCCTGTGGAAAACAGTTTATGTTTATGTAGTCAGTCCCACACGCAGTCATTGCACTGATGTCCTCCCTATGTTGCTGACCAGTGCATCCCAGTCTGGAAACACCCAATGTTATTTTGTTCTCCCCAAGAAGAGTCTTATACTGCCTTTGCTGTAAACATACAATATTATCAACTGATTTCAACAGAACAGTAAGAAAAAAAAGAAAAGCTGCTCTAAAAGTGCAGTGAAAATTTCACAAAAGAAGGAATTTAAAACCAAATAAGACAAAGGTCAGCAAACAGCGTTATCTTATGTTCCCAGTAAATGGCTGCTTCCATGGAGGTTATTTACTACAGTATCCTACTCCTAATATAAATATGTGCTAATTAATCTGAAGTCACGCTGACATCCAAATGTGATATAGTGATAACAAATTGAAAAATGACAAATCAGAAGAAAGGAATTGAAAATGTAAAGCATGTTGACCTCCAGAGCCCCGTCTGTGGGCAAGAAGCCGAGTCACAGGTAAGTGTGCCAGTGGGACACACAAGGCCCATATTTCCTTTCAGTAATAACTGACTGGGATCCAGTTCATAAGTCACGTACTACAGGAGGAAACAAACAATCCAGGCAGCTAAGAACATCTGTCAGCAACCTGTCAGCGTATTCCTGAGTTACTGTGCTGTTGTTCGCTTCAAACTGACTCACCAACTCATTCATCTCAGCAGCTCTCTGATTCCTACGTCTGTCTCTCAGACGCCATAATTTAAGCCTATATAAAAAAAAAATAATGCATACAGCCGAAAACCTACAATTATGACTTTATGAGTTAACGGCAGTAACATTTAGATAAATACACATTTAACAATCTTAAAGAACAAAAAAAGCATATTTGCCCTTTTTCAGATTTCTTTGCATTTAAAAAGTACATTTTGGAATTGAACCAAGATATGATAAAATACTTCTTGGAAGCTACACCCCACTAACTTTTTTCCCAGTTTGGGATAATGAATTTCACTGGGATTTCCCTGCTTCCCAAAACATAAAAAACTCTTTGTAAATCTTTCCAGGTTGATAGAAGTCAGTTACTTTTATTTTCCCTATAAAACATGTTTAACTACTCTTGTCTATGGATGATGCTTGACAAGCACACTTGCTTCTACACTTTAATATGCCGGTTTGACACCTTTTGGTCTATTTCATGTTGCCAGGCAAAGTTTATTTAAGTCATTTCCTGATTCTAGAGGTCTGGTACTATCAGGTGTGGATTTGGCTTGAAATCTTTTAACCCCAATAATTCTATTATTTATAGTTACCTAACGAAAAGAGGGAAAAACTTTTTTGGTTGTTTGGATAACTTTTTCTCTTAATAAATCAAATAAACTGGAAGCAACTTTTTACTCAGGTTACATAGAGCTTGGTATAAAATTTGACCTAAAACCTTTAATGTAAAAAAAATATAGAATAAAGGAACTTTTTGATAAGAAAAATAAATTTCTCTTGCATATGGGAATATCTGTTAGCTTTAATTATCTTTTCCAAGGATGTGCCTGCAGTCTTTTGGCTTTGTTCTGAATTGTACTAATAGCGTGTGCAACCAGGTTGATTCATTTACAGAGAGTTGAACACCATAAGACTCAAATAATGTGGTAATAAATACAAGGTGACGTAATAAAACGGCACAAAGCTGCACTGTAAATGAAAGTAACAGCTAAATGAAACCTGCCGAAGGCGTTGGGAATGTATGACCCACATTTTCTTGGCTCATGTTCAGAAAAAGACTGGTAACTGTTTCCCTGACTTAAATGGAAACTATCTGTACCTTAATCCTGACAGAATAATGAATTGTACTGATGCAAAGGTTTGCCCGGGTGTCAGGTTTCAAGCCGAATGTTGTTGGTGTGCATGTCTTCAGTAATAAATAGCTACGGTGCATTCTGACCATATCACCTGATATCGTAGATGATAAGGAGTTTTTGTATTAGCTCCTGCAAGATAAACTGCTTGAACACCCCCAGCAGATGCCGGGCGAGACTATCGGGTGATTCACGAAGAGTCTGAAACCCCGCCAGCACAGAAACCTGCATGGTTTAGTGACATCTTGGTCTTGACTTCTGTTATCAGCTCAGACATGCTTCTGCAGTTACCACAGTGTGCTATACCAGAATACAAAGTGACGACAATTAGTCATTACTTCACTTATGTAAGAGGTATGACAACAAACTGAAGGAGAAAACAACACTTATGTAATTACTAACGGCATGTTGTTGATAATGAATAATAGATGTCAATGTCCAAGTAAGTCAGGCTATCCTCGCAGATTAAAACCAATCAACCAAAATCTGATTAGCAGTTTTTCTCAGTTTAGGGGATCAAATCCTTCAACTATAAAAGGTTTTGCCTCTGTTTATTTATTTATTTATAATATTATACATTTTGTTTCCCTCTATTTAATGCATTTATGGAAGATGAGATCAGTCCTTTTTAAATTATGGATAAGAATGGAAGAAATCTTTCTTTCTTTCTCTTTCTATACTCTGATTAAAATTAGGGACAATAATAATTTAGTAAAAACAATAACTTTTCATTTTTATTCATGTAAAGATAGATATAAATATATCAAAAGTACTGCTTTGCTGTTACTCATATCTAATTTGCATAGATGTCTTTCTTTCAATTATGCTCTGGAGATTATGGGTTCATTTTTTCTCTCCCAAAAATAGAGATAAAAAATTCAACAAATAAAACATACAACAAACTTCTAGAGCTATTCATGCAAGTATGCCATATATAACTTTGATACACCCCATATTTGGCAACAGATTTCTCTGAATGGCATCACATGCATGTGGAGGGAATCAGCAGGGCGACTGCTTGGGGGCTGCAGATGGTTTGCACCAATAAACAAGAACTATCAACCAAGGACAACCACATGACTTCTTCTCTTTTCCATCAAACTTTGACCTCGTCAACATTTTTCCCTTAAGGATTGCTTGTGCAGCTGTTCTATGAAATCAAATTACAAGAAAAGGGAGGTAACTCTATTTGTACACAGCAGCTTAGCTCAAGCAGCTAAAGCTGTTTTTAAGAGATGTTAAAATGAAGTTTATTAACATAGTGCAAAGTTTATCAATCCTAAATAAAGGCAAAAGTTTTGCATTGCAAACAAATGGCTTTAAATATGTATTTACTTTTCAAGAGCTGGACCACCACCTGTCCACCAACAAACACCAAGACCCCAGTACAATGACAGTCACAGCTAGACAAATTTTTTTTTCAACCTTGCTATTGTATCATAATTGGGGAAATAAAAAAAAACAATGACGGAGAAAAGTGTTGAAGGGCTCTCGGCATGTGCAAGACATCGTACTGCACCGTTCTTGATGTAATTTTCTAAGTGCAATTTTGTAAAGGTGGGCCAATAACATGAGTTCCCGAGGTAACAACGCAAAGAGGCAGTAAACATAGAACCACCTGTACCCTAGAACAGTAATAAACAAGAGGTTGGGCCAATGGTTAGGCTCATAGGGAGGGCTAAAGCGGGGCGTACACTGCGATTTTCTCAATTTTTGCACACAGCTACAGCTCACAGCTTATGACGCATGTTCAGCCCGACGCTCTAAAAACCACGTCGGACTCAGCTCCGCAGTGAGATGGAGCTACTCTGACTCGTCTATCTAGAAGCCAAATGAGTAGAAGGGGAATATGAAGCTCACTAGAGTGAAACACGCTGCCTTGGCAATTTGTGCAATTTTGTGCTG